CTTCCAACATCCCATGTATAATTTTATATAAATATGTTGACCTGTTTTAGAGAACGAACACAAAATCGCTTGTAAAATTTCTAGTTTAATGCCTTGTAACTTTTTTACTATCCAAGTTAGCTTGAATCGACTTATTTTCGACCACAGAAACTGTGGTTAAATTTACTGTACATCTTTTTGTTACGCCCTATTTTGATAGAGTTATCTATCCAAAGCCCTTGACACCCTCAGACAAGCTCTACTTTTTTGCGTTCATTAAGTGATATAAGAATAAGGAATAATATGTTACATTTTTTTGTTGAATACATATTTTTGTATCTAAAGAATTTAATTATTAAAAATACGAACCATCCACACATTTATTTTTGGTAAAAAATCATTATACCTTTACTTATTTAAAGCTATCAATTTTTTTGTGACTACACATTGAAAAACCATAAGTTCGTATTCTCAGAAGCCAAATAGACAATATGAAAAAATGAATGATGTCACTGTTAATGACAAGACCATCAAGGTACCATTTGGGTAGGCGCGTCAGGATACAAGCGACCACTGAGGCGACCCCAAGGTCGAGTAGGACGACAGATGCATAAATGTTACGCTTCGTACATTTCTCAAGCTTAAGAAGTGTCGCGCGACACTTACAGGATAATCATTCGAGGGAACGATCAGCGTTGCCAGACCTACTGTTTTCACGTAGATCCACTGTTTTTGTCTCTAGCAAATTTTGTTCTTAATTTATTAAGTTTGCCTCATTCTTCAGCAAATAGTTAAAGAATATTTTCTCTAGTAAATTTTCTGCAGTAAAAGCAGCGTAATGAGCATCCACTACTCTAGGTTGGCTCCATAAAAAAAACATCAAGATAATCATTGTTTTTATTTCAAATGAAACAAAGAATTAATAGGGCATCATAAAAAGAACATGCACACTACGATTTTGAATTATCTGATTCAGACTGATCTAAAAGAAGTAGGTACCTATTATTTTTCATTGTTTTTTTTTTGTTTCCGTACGTTAAGCATATATTAAAAATGTTTTTATTTGTGTTTATTCTTTGTTTACCTTCTAATTTGGGTCGAAAAAAGTTTATTTTTCGTTTCTTATATACTTGTTTTTTTATTTACTACACTGCAAATTTTAATTATTTCCCCTGTATTAAAATCTACTCTTCAGATCTACGGTTTTTTTTTTCACCCATACTGTTCCAAAATCTGGCAACACTGCCTAGATTTTCAACCTATCCACCTCCAAGCGATGAAGCGATGCTCGAGGACAGTGACCTCGAGTACGACAGGCAGCAAAACTTTGCCCCGAATCAGATTCAGAAGTGTCGTCTGACGACATTTCTCGTGTCGCGCCGTGCGAAATATGTTTCATATAATTGTATGTATTTTAGATGTGAAGCGACACTTCTCGGTCGCATCGGCGGTCGTATGTCGCGTCGGCGGTCGTCTGTCGCGCCTACCGAAATGGTACCTTAAAGGTCTTAAAAAAATGCATTTGAAAAAGTACGGGAATTAATTAATTAAATAATTGGTTTTATAAAATACAGGGTATTCCATTTGTAAAAAAAGTTTTATTTTTAGAGAAAGCGCAAAGGGTCAAAACAGTTTCAAAATGAATGTGTTAAACTGTTAAACCAATGGTGACATGAAATAACCTTTTTCTGAGGTATACAAAAGTTTAGAGGGGTCAAAGAGATCACAGCCACTATACAATTTTAATAAGGTTCACTGTTTTAGTAATTTTTTCTTGTATAGTTACTCTTGCTTTAGGAAAAACACTTTGGAACAATCACACGCACCAAATTTAATTTTCACTTTCACTAAATTATAAAAATGGCCTTTTTTATATTCAATCAAGATCCGTAACTGCAGGGGTAGTTAATTGTAGCACTGGTTATGTAGAAAATCTGAAATTTTAATATGTTGATGCACTATATCGAAAATTGTCAACTTTTGAAACTTGTTTTCTCAATTTTTAATGAATAAATATTAAATCACCTTCATTTTCACAGTTTTTTTAAATTTTTTTAACTGATTTTTTACATTCCTCTAACTTTCAATCACATCACCTCCCCTTTCTCTTCTTATGTCTAATTTCTCATGCAGAAACAGAAAACCCTATTGTCGGGCCCCCCCTAATAGCGCTGTCGGGCCCCCGTTTGAGCCCGGGCCCCGGGAATTGGCCCCGGCTACCCCCCCCCCCCCTCTAGTCGGGCCTGACCAAACCGAACTAGATTATTTTGATAAAATTCATTCCATGTAATAAAGCTATTAATTTTTTATTAAATATGAGGTCAATGGGCTTATGTATTTTGGATTTAGCAAGGAATGCCATTATTCGCACAATAAAATGTTCGAGCAGTGTCAGTGAATCTATCTAAAAAAATTATTAATGTCTCTATGTATATATCTGATATGATTTTCAAAACAAATAGGCATAATTGCCTTAAGTACTTATCCCCAAAAAAAGGTATGCAGAAAGTATTTAGCCAATGATTTTAAATTCATGTCGCTCTCATCATAATATGCCACGATTTTCTATTCTATCCAGTTAGAACTTATTAAATTGGTGTTAACCAGATATAACCAAAAACCGAATAATTACTCAAATAGCCGACTAGCAATACATAATGGAATTTTCTTTTTAGATTGAGATCAATTGATTCATGTCATCTTTTGTTACACACGCTTTGAAATATACATATTTGATCATAATTCCGCTGAAATATAGATAGCCATTTTTAAAAATGTATTAGCTGCAATCTTTTCAAATATATTTAAAAAAAGTACAATCAATTTTATTCTGAATCTTATTTTCGTTGTGTAGAAATTTTTCCATGTTCCATTTTTTTTACATTTTGTCAAATTTCTCGAGTACGGACCATTTTAGGAAAATTTTGTATAGAACAAAAATTATAGATAATAATATAAGAAGTAACTTTTATTCGAAGAATTTTCTTCCCCAAACGTAAATAACAGATATATTCCATAAAATATAAAAATGAACACCAATAAAGTACCCCCCCCAGATGTTCCGACTCTGCCCAAAATCTAATCAGCTCATTAGATGCTGAAACAAAGCTTAAGTTTAAAATTTGGTGTTGTTATGTGTATCGGTTCATGAGTTATGCGACACACAGACACACAGACACACAGACACACACACACACACACACACACACACACACACACACACACACACACACACACACACACACACACACACGCACACACACACACACACACACACACACGCACACACACACACGCACGTACTCACGCGAGCACGCACGCACACACACACACACACACACACACACACACACACACACAGACATCATCGCGAAAATAGTCAAAACGGATTCAGGGGACCTCAAAACGTAAAAATCCATCAAAAACTGGAGGTCGAAAAAAATCATGATTCCTATACTTTCCTTATATCTGTTTACAGATAGGAAAGTAAAAATCTTACCATTTTCGAGGTAATGACTATAATTTGTTTTTCTTATGACGCTATATTGGATTTGTATTGTATTCAATATTTTATCCCCTTTTTACAAATGTATCACAACATGGTATTTTCTGTCAAATGAATGCTGACATAATACTTACTAGTTTTGCTGTTGTGCTTGATACGGTCTAGTAGGCGAGCCAATAATTTGTTTAACTTAGAACTGTCAAATTGCACATTTTACATATAAAACGAAATTTATTATTTTTTGATGTTTTATGATTATAATAAGTTACAAACAAACAAAACAACATTTTTAAAGTAATTTTTAATAACCATCAACCGTTTATTTGAAAAGAAAAAGTATGTTTTAATAAAAATTTACCAAAATAAAGACTGCATATTTTTATATCACCTAAAAGTGCATAGTTGGTGTTTAGGATTAGCATATTTATTGTAGTTAGTGCCTTCATGGCTCATTGTATTATAATCATAGCTACAACATGTCCATGTCATGTAATTTTTGAAAGAAATAAAAAGGTAGAAAACCGTCACACAGTTTCTTTCACATAATATTTTTATGCAATAATAAACTCACTAAGTTGAAACACATTCAACAACATTGGCCACGGGCTTTTACCAAAGAATACCTACCCAAGAAGTGAAACTGCATGAGTTTTCGTATATACCAAAGCATGGGAACTTAATACACTGGGAAACGTATGAAAATTAATCAATTTTTATCGTTTGGTTCATAAGAATTAAACACATACTAAAATAACCCAACTAGCACATAATGTTGCCAACCCTCTCAGCGATATTGCTTCAAGGGAAAGTAATAACATTACTATACAACATAAATGCAACGTTCATGAGAAGTTGTTGAGGGAAATCAAAACTTCGCAAAACATCTATTTGTTTCTTACCTATTTAACCTACCTGTTATGTTAACACAACGTAATAGAGTAATTTGCTAAAAAAAGTATCCATGAGAAGTACTGTGAACATCACAATCTGAATTCGGATCGTTTATGTTTATATCAATGATCACTTGTCATTTTTTATGTTTTTGGTGGTTGTTTTTAACTTGGAGAATTTATTTTATAAATAATTATTATTTATACATTTGAGTAGATTTGGTAAGGACGAATGAAGTGCATATCCCAATTCTCTTCTACATTCATATATTTTATACACTTCATGTTATAAAGAATTCAAGCAAATCTGGAATTTTATTGGGATCTATAGGCCAATATGGCGTACCAGTTGATATTGTATCGCATTTTAGTTATTTTCTTTTTGTTTTTATTATTCTAGATTCACACTGAACATGTTTGGCATTATGATGAACCTATATCTATGACTATTTAGACAATCTAGTTTTCGTAAATAATTACAAGATAAGTACTCGTATTGAAATCTAATGCACAGAAGAATTGGTTAAACCCTCGTAGGCCAAGACGCTCCTTCCTAAAATCATCATTACGGTTTTAATTAATATTTTTTAGAATTAAGAATAAGAGTTTAGTTATTTATTGGCGCATGTTGCACCGGCTGCTCACAGTTGTTTTTGATCGTTGTTCTTTTAAAGTATGAATTAAGCGATACGCGAGACACTGGACTTTTGATATCCAAGAACCGAACCGCAAGGCGTTCAATGAAATATAAAAATAGGTCCAACAGGCAATTAATTCAAATACAATTTCGAACAAATTTGTTCCTAAAAGTTTGCTAAAAACGATATTTCGTGTTAAAAGTTTCAAAATAAGGTTGTGTTTTTTTTTAATAAGTGACTTCAAGAAAGTAAGTAAGTTTAATAAAGTTTATATTTATATGGGACGGTCTTAAGTGTTGGGTTCCAGTTCGGATTTTTAAGAATAAGACGACTTTATTTATTATTGGAGAACAAAATTATCCGTGTAAAAGTTCGTAATGTCATTATCTCTAATTTTTGTTACATACATGATGTCCCTAAAATAGATCGTATTGAAGATATTTGATGAAAAGTACAAAGTTATTGTTTTTACTTTCTCCTAAATCTAACTTTGTCGGAAAGTCATGTGGCTAGATCAAATATATGTAAATGCGAAAACAAAATTTTTGATTTTACATTTTAAAATTTTTAATGTCACCTATTAAAAAAATTATTTTTTTCAACAATGTTTATTTCTTGGCATGGAAGGGCAAGTAAAATTTCCGTTGTATTTTTTGCTTAGTTTCTGCCTCGCATACAAGAATTCGAAACTTAAAATTATAAATAATGTGTAAGAACCATAAAAATATAGGATTTTTTTTTAAACATTTATGGTATGATCAAAAAAGAATAGGAGTATACCGTTGGCAAAAAAATATTTTAGTATTTTCTTGCATTCTATAGGTATAACCCATTTTGTATATATATAATCAATGAACAATAATAAAAACTTCCCTTGTGAGGGTTGGCTATTATTAATATTATTTTTTTACTACTAACATGAGAAAGCACCATTATTTACTCCATTCCTCTAATGAGAAGTAATATTTCTCACCCTAGGTAAATAATGATAATAAAAAAACACCTAGGTAAATAATGAAAGTAAATTTCATTAGTTTCATTTTGTTAATTTGACAACTAAACTCCCAGACTACTTGATATTTTGAAATATTTGAAAAATAAGTAGGAAATAACTAAAGCTGGGTTTATCAAATCTAATCAAATCAAATATGATAATATATATATATATATATATATATATATATATATATATATATATATATATATATATATATATATATATATATATATATATATATATATATATATATATATATATCAGTGTAAACAGTAAAAATATATATTAACTAGGAAATTCAACACCGGCAATAGGCTTCAAAAATTATTAATTAATACCAATAAATCCATGTCATTAAAATATCAAAAATGCAATGGGATATTTCCTAGAATCATACCAAAATTTGACACATGCCAAATTTTTACATAAATAAAGACAGTCTGATTAGAAACACGCTCCAGTCTGCTTGATATTTCGAAATATTTAACAAATTGTTAGGAAATTACTTATGTCAAAATTAAAATTGCTAATATATTAATTATATTAATGTTAGTAGTAAAAAAAATTCTATACATATATACCTCGGCTGAGAAAGCTATTATTTACCTCGCACATTATATCCCCCGGCGCTACGCGCCTCAGGATATAAAAGTGCTCGGTAAATAATACCTCACTTCTCACCCTAGGTATATAATGTACTATTATTGTCATTGTGCCAGAAAAAGTAGAGCCTAAATATAAAAGTTATTAGTCAAGTCATATCGTATAACGGATCTTGCAAAAACTGGGGAAGAATCTTTGCTACCATACATTTTTCAGAACAAAAAAGTTATAAGCAAAAAACATTCACAAAAGTGTTTTTCCTTTTATTGTCTTCTCAATGTGGTTTTCGACTATATTTTTCATCCACAAATATCTGTGTTCACCTTATGATTTTTCAGTAAAGTTAGATATTTTTACGGCCAAAATTAAAGAGGTCTGATCGCTACTGCACAGAGTTGCGTCGAATACAGGAAAAAATATCCGAGTACCGGATACGATATTTACAATGTATCCGGATACTTTTTAGGTTACTTTCACCTAAAAAGTACTCGGATACAAGTATCCGGATCCTTTTTTAGGATACTTTAAAGGATACTTTTACGGATACTTTTAAAGTGAGTTAAAATAATGTTTTCATACCAATAGTTATAATTATGCAATAAGATTGATTATGAGTAACAATAAACAATACTAGACATAAATAAATGATCTAAAATGGAAAGCGATATAATTGAAACAGGAAAAAACTACTCAATAAATTGTTTATTATTTTTATTCTGTAAATATAAAACATTAAAACAAAATGAACAATAAAACATAAAGGTGCGTGTAAATAAAACGAGTCGCGCCTAAACCGCGTCAAAAACCATAATTATTGTCAGATCTGTATACTTTATTGATATTGATGACATAAATAACACATGATCAGTAAAATTATGAGCAACAACGTCATACATGTACATTATAACACATACAAAGAAAAAAATAGAAAAAAAAAAAATAGAAAAAATAAATAGAAAAAATAAAACAAAAAAATAAAACAAAAAATAAAAAAAAACCAAAATAAAAAACAAAAAAAAGCAAAACATTTAAACCTTATTAAGTTCAGGTTGTTTTAGTTATTAATATAATTTGTAAAATAATAAAGTTTGTTACATGATATTTTTATTTGTTCATCTGACAACTAACTGGCCTGTTGGTTTATATCCAGTGCCACTAACTTAATTAAAAAAAATCATTGAGCTATTATTATATCATTTTACTTTTAATATTTTTATTAAATGGAAGTAATACCTCGCTGATTTTATTTATATTTATTTGTCAAACGATTTAAATAAAATTTTGGGGAGACATTTTACACGAAATTCCATATTCTCTTCTATTTTTACATTTTTTTTTATCTTAGCTGATTTTTTTTTATTTATACCAATTTAAAAAACTGGATTTTAAACAAATTAGATACTGAAATTACCTTAAATTTCTTTAAATTCCAAATTTCTACTGTTTTCTATTATTCTCTATTATTCTCCTATTCTTTACTTGATTTTTATTTCTCATGCGATATAAATGTATTTTGTTTACACATTTTATGCGAAATTCTATATTATTTTTTATTCTTAATTTTTTTTTTAATTTAAGCTGATCTGCCAAGATAAAAATATATATTTTTTAATTGTGCCCTTTTTTTTAAACTGGCTCCCGATAAATATCATTATGTAACCAGTCGAGTTCGGACTAAGGTCCAGAACTTTCGCCCAGGGGTGAAAGCTCTCGTTTTGTATTGTAAAGTAATGTGTAGAGTAAAGTTTTGTGTACGATGTGAATTATGGGTAAATATTTTAACTTAATTTGAAAGTTAATAATAATTGATTGATTGATTTACATATAAATGCCAATTTTACATTTTCGTCCCGAATTAATTTATTTATCTTATGCATATTTTATATTATTATGTAGTTATAGTGCTTTATTCCCTAAATGGAAGTTTATTCACTTTTTTAGAAGACTATTAGTAAAATTTTATACTTATTGTTAATATACATTTGTTAATGTTTTATTATTTTTTATTTGCCACTGGTGAATGGATGTTCCTTCTGGACTCCAGGACCCTTTGACTGGTGCGGCGCTGCCCTAATCCCTTAATAGTATATTAACAACAGTAGCTAAAGACCTGTCAGTAGTTACAAATGGTCTTTAGGCAAGTTGGTTGTTACTAATTTTACACGTTAATATTGAAAAATACGTATTTTATTTCTTATTATACAAGGTAGCTCAAAGTATTTCGATTATATATTTTAATAGAGATAATATATGGATTGGATCAGTTACGATTGTGGTAAATAATTTAAAAGTATCCGAAGGCCGAAAAAAGATACTTACTTTGGTCACGGATACGGATATCGGATATAAAATTTGAAAAGTATCCGGACAACTTTCGGATACACATAAAGTATCCGCATACAGAAGTATCCGGATACTACCCAACTCTGCTACTGAAGTATCTCAAACCCTATAAACTACACTTTAGTGACGGTCCGTCTAATCTAATCAGAAATAAAGTTTTTCTTGTTAACTTTTTTTATAGTACGTTAAATAAATTCTATTTCCACAACAAACAAAAATTATATTTAATAATAATTTATTGAATTAAAAGTGTGAATATATATATTTAATTTAGGATACTTGTGCTTTTCAAAATAGCACTTCGATATTCAGATCCCTTTATGAGCATTAAAAATCTCCGCCTATGGTAGTAATTAGAGAATTTTGAATTAATATCGTTTATCGTACCTATATACTCACGTAGATACGTTTCTATATGTCTATTTGTAATGTTTTTATTTTCTTTTTTTATTCTAGATACATTATTTATTAATTATTTAGTTTACAATAATATTATTCAACATGATAGAAGTAATTAAGTGGCATACCATTTTAAGACTGAATACTATTATAATTGTATTTTTGGTAGTACTCTTTGGATTTTCGACAGCCCAAGCATCTCTACTTCATTTAGAAAGTACTCAAAACAAAGGTTAGTATCAAGATTCTGTTTTTCCCTAAAATCTAAAATATTTTGACAATTATGTCATTTCCTCTTATACCGAAAGTAGATGTCAACTTTCTTATTTCAAATGGGACACTCCAATTTTTATTCAGAATTCCGATAGAACATGAAATTTTAGGGTCACTTTGTATAATAAAGTGTATAGCTAAAATTGATAAAAAATTGCGGAAAAATAATTTTTAATTTTAGCTAAAGATAGTTTAAATTTGAAAGTTTTGTCAACTGAATTATGATGAAACTATTACATGAGAATAAAAGATATTTTATTAAACAGGGTGAGAAACAAAATGTTTAAATTTTTAACAAAATATCAATATTCAATTTTTTAAACGGATGCATTACAAAAATAAGTGGAATTCTTGTTTATTTCCCCTATAGTCATCTTGAATAATTTTTAATAAAAAAAGCTAATGTTAAAATTATTTTATGATAAATGTAATATTTTCTATTAAGTAGGTGTCTTAAAAGTTAGCGTCAAAATTCACATAAAAGGTAAAAACTTCATTTTGAATGTCTTATGTCCTATTTTTTCAATCGTAATTTAATTATTTCCGCTATTTTAATGTAAATATGGCATATGAGTACTGTAATAAAGATTACCAACATATAATAATAATTTATGGTGAATGTAATAAAGTTGCATACATACTTTTGCCGTAATATACTCATCCGTTAATTTTTAATCAATAATTTTGTATACGATAGATGATTAGCCAATAGAAGCCCTTTTTTTGGCCTTTAAGATCTCCTGACCTTAGACCTCTCGATTTTTGTACATGGTCTATCAAACTCCTTTAACTACTAAAAAATAGAGCATCCCATTAGATACCGACTGAATCAGTTGCTAGAGCCTGTCCGCGTTTATCCAAAATATGTATTCTGTATCAACATTTTTGGATCAATAAATATTAAACAATGTAAATCAAGTACCATTTTACTCAAAAATTTTATAGTTCAGATAAATTTTTACCACCTCTATTCTGTTCACTACTGTAAAGGGAGTTGCGGTCGGCTGAGAACCGTGAAAGTGACTCAGAATCAGAAATATTCAAAAAGCACTTTAAAATAAAATACAATAGTTTTCGTCAGATGCGAAAAAAATTCTTAAACAATCAACATTATAATGTGGAATACATAATGAACTACACATGATTAGAGAATACAAATCTCCTATTTACTATTTATCATATCTTTTACTTTGGTGAAGTTTGAAATATACAGGGTGAGTCGGGAGGAGCGCACCAATCTCTAGGAGTATATTATACACGTGAAAATAATGTAAAAAAAACTAATATGTTCTTATCCGATTTTCATTTGTTTTCAAGTTATAGCATATTAACAAATAAACAAATACACATACACATAAAAATTCTCTTAATCATAGCGTTCTTTCAATAAATGTTCAAAAATACCGCCATTGACTTCTAAACATTTTCTGCTTCATCTACGAAGAGCGTTTGTTGCTCTCCTAATTGATTCATTTCTTTCTTCTTTAATATGGGCTGCAGTATTCCCAATTCGTCTATTTAGTGCATCCCGTGTGTCCACTTTTATTTTGTAGACTTCATTTTTCATCCAGCCACATAAACAAAAATCTAATGGTGTGAGGTCTGGAGATCTTACAGGCCAATTAATAGGACCTCCACGACCATCCAACGCCCTGGAAAACGTTCTTCCAAATGCTGCTTGACCTGACGAGCGACATGTGCAGGAGCTCCATCGTGCTGAATAGTACATCTGCATTCTAATATTTACAGTAACATCCTCTAGCAGGCCTTGTAATTCATTTTGTAAAAAATTGAGGTAGTTGTCTCCTGTGAGACGATTCTCCAAAATGAAAGGGTCAATTAAATAACTGTCAACCATACCACACCACGCGTTTACAGAAAACCGATGTTGAAAATTGCTTTCGACTGTTGCGTAGGGATTTTCGTCTGACCATACATGATAGTTACGAGTATTATTAATGCCATCACGGGTAAATGTAGCTTCATCCGTAAAGAGCATACTCGATACAACACGATGGTTATTATTTATCCACCGACAAAACTCCATACGGTTAGCGTAATCCTGTGGTTGTAGGTGCTGTACTCTCTGTACGTGATAAGGATATAAGCCTTGCTCGTGGAGTGTGTTTATCACTCTTTTTTGTGGAATTCCCAATTGAGTGGCAATTCTCTGTGAGCTAGTAGTTGCATCTTCTTCTACTAGATGCAGAATATTTTCTACTTCTACAAAACCTTGTCGAGTAGCGCGTTCAGATGTTATGAAAGCACTGGGAAGCTTACCAGTCTCGCACAATTTGTTGAAAACTCTAATAAATACGTTTTTATCAGGATGTCTTCGGTGTGGAAAACGTTGACGATATTCTTCAGCAGCAGCTGTAGCATTTCCATTACAGAAACCATAAACAAACACCATACTTGCATATTCTAAATTTGAATAAGTATCTGGCATTTTGCAACACTAACAATCACATAAATTCGAAATTAAACGTTCAGTTACTGTTCACTGTACACTGACAGTTCATCAAAACGTCAGAATTATCAAATGCCTTTGAGCCTTGAACATATGGCATACTTTGATAATGTTAAAATTCAGAAGGGGAAAGCTAGATGAACATTTTTAATTACGCCATAACTTGAAAACAAATGAAAATCGGATAAGAACATATGATTTTTTTTACATTATTTTCACGTGTATAATATACTCCTAGAGTTTGGTGCGCTCCTCCCGACTCACCCTGTATAAGCTTAAAATAACATTTTACAAGCGTCTCTTTCAACTTTAGTAAAAAGACATATACTCGTAGATCCCTAATGGTGCCTATAAGAATATTTGTATATACACTGCACCGCAAAATTAACCGGACACTAAGTGTATTTTAAATAAAATTAAAAAGTATTAGAAAAACTTAAATTCCAATAAAAATTTTTTATTGTATATTCAATAACAAACCCTAAAATAAAAACCAAGTTCCAAAATATTGATTAATTTAACAACAAATAAAACTTTATAAAACTTTTTGTATTCCGGAGTACACAATTAACGGGTATTTTTCTGATTGAAATCATAAAATAATTCTAAGATTCCCTCCTCGAGCTCGAATAACAGCTCTCATCCTTTCTGACATAGACTGGACCAAAGCAGCAATCTCGTTTTGCGGTATTTGTTCCCACTCATTTACCAGCGCCTGTTCTAACGTTGCCACAGTTTCAAACTCGCCATAATTTTGTCTATGTCTTCTTCCCAAGTTGTCCCACAAATGCTCTATGGAGCTAAGGTCTGGGCTTCTAGGAGGCCAGGCTAGTATCTGAATACCAACATGTATAAAGTATTGCATAGTTATCCTGGCTATGTGCGGCCGAGCATTATCTTGCATTAGAAGAAAATGTTCACCTACAAAATGCATATAAGGTACCGCATTTCTTCCAGACATTCCCTAATGTACCTATCAGCATTAAAGCCAGCTCCCTTAACATAACAAGATCTGTATGTGCTTCCAAAGAAATGCCGCCCCGTACCATTGCACCTCCACTGCCAAACTGTGCTCTAGAAGATAAACAACATAGCGTTCTCCAGGCCTCCTCAATACTCTTTGGAATCATCAGGTGAGTATCTCGTAAAACGAGACTCATCTGTAAAAAGAACGTTACGCCAATCTTTAATATCCCATCTGCATGAGCACGAGAGAATTCTAAGCGTTGTCTTCGATGAGCTGCATCCAATAAAAGGCCTGTGGCAGGTACATAAGACGATAAATTTTGTTTGCTTAATCTTCTGAGTACAGTATCAGGTGAAACTATACGGTCCCATGAATATCTGCCAGTCCCCTAATCAAAGCTGTAGCAGTAACTGTCCGCTCTCGAAGCACTTGAAGTTTCAGAAATCGATATTCACCGGCGTTTGTTACCCTTGGTCTTCCCTATCCAGGTCTTCTAGAGTAAGAACCAATTTCTCTAAATCTTCGTAAAGCATCAGATATTGTCATAGATAGGTATATATATTGTACTTCGCGGAACGCCAAGCATTTCTTCGATATAACGAATGGAACGACTGTCATTATGTAAGGCAACAGCTTGCGCTACTTGATCTGGCCTTATTTTAAATTATTCTTGATAAAATCACTTTTCTTTCCCGAAGAAGCAGCCAACCATATATACCAAAAAGGCATACAATCAATTTAACAAGCATTATTTTGTAAGTAAATATTCGATTATCGAGAACACCTTAACAAAAACTTTCTTTTCAGCCACAAAAAATTACAAACTTTTAAAAAACGAATGGATAAAGGCAACTTATATTTTGATAAATATATTTAATTATTATATATGACAATTCAACAAAACTAAAAGGAGAAAACTTTAAAATTTCACGTGTCCGGTTAATTTTGCGGTGCAGTGTACAATAAATAAATTTTATAATATATTATAATAATTTTTATTATTATTTATCATTATTATTCTTGTATAGTGAAGGAATTTTATTAAATATATTTGGCAATATTGTACGAATATTAGGTTTAAAATTATCAAATAAATTACACTTTTCAATTTGAAATAGAGTAGCATAGCGTTGCAACGTATTGTTGCAACATTTACGATAATTATCGTTTCAAGTGATAATTTTAGAATTCTTTACAATGTAGGATTGAACATGGTACATGTATGATAAGATCAAAATGTACAATAATTTTACAACATGCTTCAAACGATTTCTTCTAATAATTTAATTCATTTTCACTAATATATACTTTTTTTAGGAATATGCCAAGAAGAGTTGCAAAGAAATGCATTTTCCTGGGCAGACTATTTGGTGCTGGCAACCATGCTGATAATTTCGTGTGGTATTGGAGTGTTTTATGGTTGTTTTAATAAAAGTCAAAACAGCGATGATTTTCTTTTGGGAGGTAGCACCATGGGCACATTTCCAATGGCCATGTCACTGGCTGCAAGGTACGTTCATTGTCTGTAAAACGTCTTTACAAAAACATACCACATATTCCGTGGACCAAAATTAGCCGATTTAAGTAAACTTACATCAGTACAAAGTTGTACAGTTTGGGCGCTAGATGGCCCTGAAGTTATAATTTTTAAATCGTTTCTCCATTATAAATTTGGAACGGCTTATGCGATTCTGCTTAAATTTGGTACGTTGACAGTGTTGACAGTGCAACGGCGGAAACAAGGAGGGCGAAAACCTACTAGATTAAAGTCCTTATTTATTGAAAGCAATCAGTTTGTGTTTTGTGTATGAAGCACATATTTTGATTTTCTCTTACTATACGGAGAATGGTCGCACTGCGCAGCTTTACAAGTGCCTTTTAAAACTCCGCCATTTTGATGTCTTATTACGTGTTGCCTACATCTTGGCGCAATATTTTTAATAGTTGCGTTTTAATCATCCGCTTCTGCTTTGGAATTGTCGGTGTTCTTGTTTTAATCTGACAGGTTAAAACGACTAAACCGACAATTCCGGAAGCAGAAGCGGATGATTAAAACGCACCTGATATTTTGCTTGCTGCTGTCAGTGTCAGTGTCAGTAAATATTTTTTTTTGAGTCACAGTTTATTGCTAAAGAATCAGTTAGCTCACTCGGACCAGTTGAATGTTCCAAAATAACATCCACTCCAGGGATACAAATTCAGGATGCGCAGAAGACTGCTGTTTTATTATAGGCGGTTGTCATACACTGTATTATCCGAGTTGCGAAGAGTATAAACTGGAACATTGAGATTAAAAGTGCCGACGCAGAGTGAGCGAACTGATTCTTTAGCTATAAACTGTGGTAAAGGTATCAAAATGGCCGCGCCCTATGTTGGGCGTGTCGGACCTCTCTCTTGCACTGTATAGTAATCAAAGTATGTGGTATGAAGACTAAAGATGAGGAGGCAAATCGGCATACTCGAAGTCTCAAAAAACGAACGCTAATTGAGCTTTTTTAATTCACCGTAAGGGCGCTGGTGCTAGTACCGCTATTCAAAATACATGGCTTCTCATGGAAAATTTCTATAATTTTGTCAAATAATAAAAATAAACTTGTTTATTGCCAAATAAAGCAGATAATATGTTTTATTTATCTATAAATAAGTCTCGCATGTTTTAATTGATAAATTATTTATTTTTTTCTATATAAAATGTAATTTAGATATGTACAATTTTGTATCTAAATTTTTTTGAATTATACCTAAATATAGTAGCTAAGAGCAAAATAAAACACAGTTAATAGATTTTTTATTGTTATAATACAAGCATAAAGGGAGATTTGGGAATGTATATGATATTGCAACATCCTTTAATTTCGGCTTTCCCCTTTTTATTTTGCTAACAGTATCATCAGTAAAAAGAGTCTCATAATATTTGGAAATATCTTCTAAAAAGTGTAAAGCAGCATCATCTCTAGAATGTGCTTTATCGGCCCTAGGAACGATATATTTGCTGCCACTGTTCTAAGCGTTTAGGATCCTATAAAAACATTTACAATGACAAAATTTGGTTTCAACAAAAAAATAACAGTAGCTATTCTTTATCTAACATTAAAACTTCTTTTTTAGTAAGTTAAATTTAATTTATAATTATTGTTGTTTGTAAGTCAGGATCTATGACTGTAAAATTTTATTTTGTAGAAACTTGTAATAAAATAAACTACACTTCGAGATACGTGTTGTTGCTAGTTTACATTGATATTATATTTAGACATAAATACATTACTTTACTTACATTAGAAACATTTAATTGATTTCTCCTTGTGTTTTCTTTAGTTTTATATGCAATTTGTATCCTGTTTTACAATATGGAACGAAGTAAATCTTGCTTTAATGTTTTTTGTCACTCATGTTACTTGTACTCAGGTACTTTTTTCACATTATTTCGATTCTATTCACCAATTTTTAAAAAATCATTTTAAATTGACTTATATTATAGAAAATGATCGTCAGTGACGTTCGACCTGCCAACTACAGTCACTTTTTCGAACTTTATAAAAAGAAGGACAGAAATTTGAAATTTGATCATTGCCGATTCGCCTCCTTATATCTAGTCTTCATAGTTTTGTATCAGGCAGAGTTGTTGCATCGGCAGCCGCATTAGAATGAGTGAGAGTGGAGTAATTTTAAGTGGGGATGGTTTGCGCGAATTTATTTATCTGAGGTGCGAGTACACGTTTTATGAATTAATCAATAATTATGGCTACGATGCTTGCTCTACATTGCTGTCAAACTTAAATAAATTGCGTTCAACTATGATAGTTGTAACGATAAAAAGACATTAAATTGATAATAACTGGCATTATGAATGTAAATATCCTTCCTTAATGTCATTTTGCCTTTTGTGCGTTTTAGAGCCTTATGTTAAGGAAATTCTGAATTATAACCACAAACAACCCTTGTAATTTATGTAACAAGACTCTCCCATAGCTCCCATCTCATACTCTTTCATAATAATTTGACAACTACGTAAATGACGCTGTGAATATTTGCAATTCGATTTTTGTAAACATGATTATAGTAGAATCGCAGTCGAAACGGAGTAATATATTTGTCAGATCAGGAAATTTCAGGTGTGGGTGCCTATATTAATATTTATGGGGTACACAAAAATCATTTAAAAATATATTTTTTGAATATGTATTATTGAGTATTATTTCGGTATGTAAGTACTTTCCAAATTTTTTTTGTTATCTGTTTGAGTAAATTAACAACAAGGTATATAAAAAATATTTTTCAAGACCTATAAATTTGACTATTAGGTATACCTACATTAAATTGTTTAAGTCGTTAATCATCATTGATTTCTTGGAAGTTTTTGATGTCAAGGTGAAAGTTAATCACAAGTGTAGAGAAACGTTTCATGTTAAATTATATAAAGTAATCTGAGGGTTCAAAATCTATAAATGTGACTATAATTGTATTAAAAATGTAAATGGGATAAATCCTTAGATTATAGAAATCTATATTCTAAGGGTTAATCGTTATTTTATCTTCTTGGAGATTACTAATGCCATGGAAAAACCAAAATGATAACAAGGGGGTGGGATTATAAGATGGTTACCTACCTAGGATTTGGTATGAAGATATGATAGGCAGTTGCAGTTAGTATCTTGATCAGTTCCCAATATTACCTACCCTTCTATATTATCTATTATAGTAAGTTGTGGTTATTTTCGGTTAATAGTAACACTAGTATTGAAAAATGCAGTGTAGTTCAAATTTTACACCTGTAAAACGTATAAAGAAGTGTGCGTTGGCAGTTAACGAGAACATATTTGTAAGCAATGTTTATAATTGCCTAAGAATGGAAAATCTTTCGTTTTCTACTGACGATACTGTTGAAAAGACAAGTAATATAATGGGTGCAGCAAATTGCAAAAATCAACGATATATAAAGTTATACGTGAATTAAAAAGTAGAGTTGTTAAACCTCCAAAGAAAAATGCAGGAGGTAAGAAAAAAATAGAATTTACTGAACAAATTAAAAACGGAATAAGAAGAAAAGTTCACGAATATTATTTTAAAAAAGAGATATCAACACTTGCCAAGGTTTTGGACGCAATCAATAGTGATCCGTATTTTCCTAAAATAGGAAAGACAAAACTACGGGAAACTTTAATAGATTTGAAGTTCAAGTGGGATAAACAGGACAGGAAAGGAGCACTTATTGATTCTGAGGAAATTGTTTGTTGGAGATGGAGATACCTCAGAACCATATTTAAATTACGTGCAGAAGGCAAAAAAATATTTTATTTGGACGAAACCTGGGTGAATGAAGGGTACACAGTTAGCAACTTGTGGCAGGACACAAACATTCAATCTTCACGACAGGCTTTTTTGGAAGGATTATCTACGGGATTGAAGGTTCTTTCCGGTAAAGGACGACGTCTAACTGTAATTCATATTGGAGGTGATGACGGAGACTACCATGAAGATATGAACGCTGATGTTTTTGAAGAATATTTTCAGCAGATGATAGAACATTTATACCAAATGGTTTAGTTATAGTAATGGATAAGTTACCATTCCCATTTAAATGGACGTGTGCCAAATACTTCATGAAAGAAAGATGATATCATTAAGTGACTAACAGACAGAAACATTAACTTTCCAGAAAAAACAAAAAAAAACATTTTTTTTTCAGAGGTGAGTGGCGAGGGGACTCACCTAAAACAAACCACGGCATTTAAATTACAAGAACTACTAGAAATTGTGAAATTAAATAAGCCTCCAGTACGTTATGTATAGCATAAGTAGAAGTTGGAAAGGCTTTTGGTAGGTAGAGAGGCAGGGACGCCGAGAGCCAAGCCGGGCCCCAGGACAATTCTCTAGATCGGGCCCCGTGACCAAAAAACAGTTCTTCAAACAAAAACTTTTCCTCTTCTTCGATCCAATTTTCTATAAAAAAGGTCTTCAAGCAAAAACTTTTCCTCTTGTACTTGGATTCAATTTTCTAAAAAAAAACTTTTCCTCCTGTACTTGAATTGCTTTTTCTAAAAACAAAAAAAAGGTCCTCCAGCAAAAACTTTTCCTCTTCTGCATAGATTCAATTTTCTACAAAAAAAAAGGTCCCCAGCCTAAAACTTCCCCCTCTCGTCTGGTGTCGAATTTCTCATACAAAACAAAATCCAGTTGCCGGGCCCCCCTTATAGAGCTGCCGGGCCCCCATTTGAGTCCGGGCCCCGGGAATTAATCCCGGCTACCCCCCCCCTCTAGTCGGCCCTGTAGAGAGGGGGTAAACGTTAAACCACGTCGGACGGCTTCGAGAATTTCGCAGTAATGTTTACCTGCCAGTGTTGTTTCACAGAATAAGTAATTTTAAATTGTTACCGGCGGAACCGGACAATCGTATGTATTTATGGACTATAAATAATTATTAAACATGTATTATAATATACAAATCATAATTTTACAAAATTTTAACAGCTGCAATATTCCATTGTCCCGTTAGGCTACAATTTGCAATACTATTTGTTACCTTTTTGATAAATGTTAATTTCAAAACACTTATAGAGATTTTTACTAGCTCAGTGAAATTTAATATCAAACGTTACTTACCTTTAAAAATTAAAAAAATAAATGAGCACATCCTTTTCTCTGTCGTGAATTCGGCTTTTCAAATAGACAATTTTAAGGGCAGTAATCTTTCTAGGAAATGTTGGGCACCAATAATTCTCTTTTTTATTTTAAAAGCTAGTGTAAATTCTAGCTTTATCAATAAAAGAAGTTAATAAAAATTATACAGAATTTAGTGAATGAAAGAGAATTTTTGTGACCTTTAAAAAATAAGATTCAACATATATACTTATACAAATTAATGATTTTATTTAAAAAAGAAACCTTTTCGAAAACAAATTATTCACAGTTATCAGGTATCAAATTGTGATTCGTACATAAATAATTCTAGTCACTAGTAATTACCATATTTTACTTTGTTAGCTAACCACTTCTAGATAGCCATAGGTAGTTGAGATTTCTGTCCCTCGGAAACCAACGCCTTTGTCGGTTAATCTTTCTTCTTATGAAGCTTCGAATTGTAGCTGTCGCTTTTCCAATCAACTAACTTTTCATAAGAGATTTCTGTCCCTCGGAAACCAACGCCTTTGTCGGTTAATATTCCTTCTTATGAAGCTTCGAATTGTAGCTGTCGCTTTTTCAATCAACTAACTTTTCACAAGAGATTTCTGCTGTTGAATTATGGTTTTATGACGTTAGGGCTTATGTCGTTATGGCTTATGGCTGATTCCATTCGTTTGCTAGACAAAAATAGATTTTGTTTTTCACGTGGTTCTGTACGATATATAAATTTGAAACATCTACTTTTTTTTTTAAAAAATGAACCAATCAGATAATAAAAACTAGTGACTATACATATTGTGCCGTTCTAGCAACCAGAATGAATCATAAAAATATATTTAACTTTACTATTAAAAAACTAATAATTAACAAAAGGTTTGAATAATATTTCTACTGAGATATTTAATAAAGACATTATATACTTTTTATGCTTACCACTTTAACAGCCAAATGCACCACCGATACAATCGAAAGGTAATAATAAAATGAAATTTACAAATCTAATTTGAGATCGTTTGGTTAGTGGTACTCTCACTTCAAGAAATTTTCCTTTCTTTAGAATATTGTGTGTTGGCGATAATTAAATTATACCGGATGGCACACATTTAAAATAACATTTTATAATTAGACTTTTAAAATGTTACACAGCTATTCCCAATTTATTAAACTATTTACTCGAAATTGTTATTAACATCTATAAAATAATTTAGTACGCCAATGTATCGCGTCCACTTTGGTTAGATCCGCTGCAAACCTGTCAATTTATGTGTACAAAGTGGGAGAACTGGCAAAAGCCTTTCCAAGTTCTACTTGTGCTATAGTGGATGAACTTGCAAAAATACATGGTACTGATGTTGTTCGTCTTCCTACCTATCACTGCAAACTAAATCCTATTGAACTGATATGGGCACAAGTTATAGGATATGTAGGTCGACATAATACGACTTTTAAGTTAAAAGATGTAGAAGCATTGTTAGGAACCTCCATATAACTTGTTACGAAGGAAAATTGTCAAAAGGCAATCGAGCATGTGTTAAAAGAAGAAGAAATCATGTGGAATCTGGACAAAATCTTGGATGTCGATACTAGAGTGCCACTTTTAATAATATCAGTAAATAATGACTCATCTAGTGAATATAGTGATTTAGAGACTTTCACGTTTCCTGATCTTCGGGAGTAGGTAAGCATATCTATTTTATATCTAAATGTTATAGTCATAGCATCCCGGCGGTTAAACTACAATTATGTGTTTAAAATAGTAACAAAAAAATAGTAATACAAACAAATACCCTTTACTTTACCCAACCGTGGGCTATTCAGTCTTAAAAGGGGTTAAAATAAGGGTAGCTTATTGTTTATGTTTTACAAAACCGGGCGACACAGGTAAAATGTTATTTTCTATAATTTTTGTCATATACATAATTTTCTAAAAATGGTCCTTATTCTAGAAATTTGACAAAAAGTGCAAAATTTGAATTTTTTAATAAATTGTTTAGAGCTAAAAGTTATTTGCGATATTTTGTTCCATACATGATTCCTCTAAAATAGACCGTATTAAAAAAACTTGACGAAAAGTGTAAAATTTTATTTTTTTAGCATTTTCTTTGGCAATGAATATGTATAAAAAAATGTTTCGAGTAAGATGTGCCTGGAAAATGTATATATTTAGTTCATCCTCTGAACATTTACAGGGGTAATACAATAGGTTCTACAAAATAACTAGACCTGAGAGTCATGTGTTGGACACATCAGATTTTTCATGAAATGTTCTAAACCACTTGAATCAACAGTACCCACACAAATGGTAATGACGCACCTGTAAATTGGCCACCACATTCTCCAGACTTAATTAAGATAGATGACTTTTTTCGGAGTATACAAGACTCTTGTAGATAATGATACTGTGGCAACGTATTCAAGATGCAGCAAAGAGGTGATGATGAGATGTTATGCAAAGAGTAAATTTAAATTTTTTTGTTATATAAATCTTTGTATGTACGAAAATGATGAAAACTTTCGTATTTTTATTAATGTTTTAGTACTTAAATAATTTTTTTCGAGAAACCAACACTCCAAATTATTAAAATACAAATTTCGCCAAAATCATGAGAGTAATCGATACTTATCAAAGATAGGTTCCATTTTTGTAGTAAATGAGTTAAGAAACCCCTTTTCTTCCATTGGCGTAGATATTTTAAATGTGCACATATTAAAGAATCAAGTTCTACTCCTATGGATTAATATTAGTCATGATTTTGATGTTTTTTTATCACATAAAACTCTTTCAACGAAACGAACCAAATTTAAGCAGAAATGCATAAGCCGTTTTAAATTCATAATGGAGAAATTATTTAAAAATTGTAACTTTTTTGTTTTTTTTTTTTTTTAGTTTTATTACTGCCATTGAGCTTCTGGGAAATCCAGCCGAATTGTATACCCATGGATTACAATTCTGGATGATCTGCATATCTTTTATTCTCGTCGTACCACTGACTTCGGCGTTTTATCTTCCGGTTTTTTTAAATTTACGACTCACAAGTTCGTACGAGTACCTATCTTTAAGGTTTTCCCCCAGTATTAGGTATCTAGCGAGCGGTTTATATATTTTGCAGATGATTTTGTATACAAGCGTTGCAGTGTATGCTCCTGCATTGGCACTGAGTAAAGGTATGTATTGATGTGATAAATTATTGTTGTAATTTAATTTTTTTTCCTAAATTAGTCCAAAAAGAGAAATTTTAATCAATCTCAACTCTTAAGCTACAATTTTGGAACACGAGACCGATGCAAGTGACCGCGACGGACGATCGATGCACTTATGTTATGTGCCGAACCTGCTGTGGTCTCCTGCATCTGTCGCTCTGTCCCAAATGTCCTTCATTTAGTTATATGTGATTCAGACATAAAGAGAAGCATTTCGGTTGCCGTACGCGGTCGCTTGCCTCTGCCTCCTGTCTAGGTCATGTGTCCTAAAATGGTACATTTAGGTTCATAGGTTATTCCTTCCAGATTCATTCATACTATCAATAATTCAGAGAATAACAAAAAAAACTTTTCCCATTAAATAAGAACCATTTATTGATTTTCAGATGTCTTTTCACTGTTTGAAGGGGATTTTAATTTTGAGACTACAAACTACAAAAAACAAATCAAAATTTAGTTCAGGGTATTCATAATAATATGCGAATATTTAAGGGTGTAAATCAAATAAAAAATTAAAGTTTGCTTTACCAACTATTGGAGATATTTCAGTCATATTTAGTATGCAGTGGCAGTTAATGAAGGGCAACTACATTTATTTCAGAATTGTATTCTTCAATAATTAATTACATTAATTTTCTTAGCTGATATACCGGTTTTTATTTTTTAACTCAAAAACAGGGCACTGCAGGAAATCAACTTAAAAAAGCTGTCATGTTTCAACTTTATTTATTTATTGAGTAGTATATTCTGGTTGATTTATTTGCCTTCTTGGTAAGTTTCCTTGATATAATTCCTAAGTATTCTTACGTTGTTACTCTTTCTAGTGTTTTGTCTTTCATCTCTGGTTTTAGATTACAATCATTACTTTAGTTTTATCTATAATTACATAAATTTTAATGATTCCTCTTTCTCTTGTCCATGTACACATCAAAATTGATATTAAGATCTTCCGTATTCTTCCCTACTCTTGTTCTGCCTTTCTTTCCGTCTTTCCATATTTTATACTTCTGCTTTTAATTTGTCTGTTATACTCATTCTTTGTAAATATTCATATACATCAACGTAAATGTTGCCGTTTACTTCTTTATCTCCTTTTATTAGGTACCTAATTAAGTCCCAGGTACTTTATTTTGTATGTTTGATTGCCTCAATCAATTTAATGAAAGTTTCATTTACTTGTATATCCTATAGATTTTAATTCAATTTCCTATACAAAACATTGTATTTGTTCTATTTTCCTTTTACATTAATATTAATAATATATTAATAATTTATTATTCTCCTTCTATTATCATTTTCGTTTTCTTTTACGAAATGTACACATTTTTTTTAGTAATAATTAATTTTTTATTTCAGTAACAAAAATAAACGTTTATCTGGCAGTAACAGCAGTGTATGTTGTTTGTATCTTTTATGCTTCTCAGGTATGTATTTATGTGCTCTATTAACAGTGTAAATAAAGCTTTTCGTAATTGTAACTGATACACACAACGTTTTCAAGTAGGTACATTGTTAAATGATAAGTCATGCCTACGTTATAGTTTATAGGATATCTATTCAGACTTGCTTTAAAATGTTATATGAGTTCTTGATTTTTTCAGAAAAAATGATTCAAAAATGATTTTTCTTCTCTTTTTTTCTCAATAACATCAGTGTAATGACTACTCGAAATTTATTTAAATATACATTTGTTACTGTTCACTCATTTTCTTTGTCATTTAGTTATATATCCACTTATTAATATTTACTCCATCCTTTTCCAAAACCAATTATAAAAATACTCCAAGTATTTTCGAAGCTTCGCGGTCTTACCCTTAAGGAGAACTATCAGATTCTTTAATTAGTACCAAAACCGCTCAACTATGCTATTAAAGGATTATTTTTTGCCAAGGGCGATCGCATGTTCCTTCAGGACTCGAAGACCCTAAAGCCGGTGACAGTGCTGCCCTATCCCTTAATAGTACATTGGTGATAGCCCTACTCCTAATAGTACATTAATGATAGCGATCTAAATTAGTTAGAGACCAATCGGTTACTACATTGGTGATAACGATCTAAATTAGCTAAAGCAGGGGTGCACAACATACGGCCCGCGGGCCAGTGTCGTTTTGGCGGCCAGCTGGCCTTTGACCAATTTGACACGCCTACGTCAAATTATACATTTTTCAGTAACAAACTTGCATTTAGGCTGACGACTTTTTTTTAGAAGCTTCACCAGCAGGAGTGGGTTTATAAATGAAAGGGATTGACCTTTTTTTTAAGAAATCTGAACCGACTATTGTAGGCTCGAGCCTCTCTTGGCGGCCCTCGTATAGTTACGGTTTTTCAAATCTGGCCCTTTTAAAATCTGAGTTGTGCAGGCCTGAGCTAGAGTCTAGTTAGATACCTATAAGTTGTTATACTAGTGATTTTAGAGTATATTTTACAACTACAAATATCCGATGTGTTTTACATGTGACTTTCCAGTAAATTTAGACTTTTAATTTTCAGGGAGGTATGAAAGCTGTTATTATTGCTGATACATTCCAAGCGGCTGTACTTATAGGCTCTCTTCTGTTAATAGCTGGCTTAGGATACATTGCCGTTGGAGGAACGGGAGCTATTTGGTCTCATAATTATGTCACTGATCGATTGGAAATATTCAAGTAAGTATAACCATAATCCAATACAAATTGTACATTTAATTTGACTGAAATTTAAATATTTCAGTTTTGATCCAGATATGACTGTCCGGCACAGCTTCTGGTCAGTCGTTGTTGGCGGTACTTTTTACTGGATGACGATGTTTTGCTCAAATCAGGCCTCAATTCAGAAATATCTGTCCGTCGAAAGTATTAGTCAAGTCAGAAAGTAAGTACTTCTCGCAAAATCATTTTTTTTTTAATGTCAGGCCTTGAATTAAATCATTAAAGGGCGCCAAATATGGCAGGTATCAATTTACTGCAGAAAATGAGTTCTTCATTATTCTTTTACCAATCATTTATGGTTTATTCCAGAGCTATATGGACATCTGCCATTGGTCTTGTGCTGATCTATTCTATTAATTTCTACACTGGAATGATAATGGTGACCCACTATAAAGACTGCGATCCATTGACCAGTAAACAAATATCGGCATCCGATGAAATACTGCCTTATTATATCATTAATGAAATGGGTCACATGAAAGGACTTACTGGATTCTTCGTTGCTGGTATATTTGCTGCAAGTTTAGGGTAATTGCTAGGTATAATTTAATTTTTTAAATGTAAGAAACTTCTTTGCAAAATTTTCTCACAGGTTACTTGCATTGAAAATTCTAAATATCCTGATAATAAATATGATAAATTTAATAGATTTAGGTGGCATAAATAGCGTAAAAGAAAGCTGGTACAAGAGCTTGAGTTACACGCCATGAACACTTGCATGTATGGAAAGATGAAATATAAAAATAAATACTGTCTGACGCTTTGTAAAAATTGTTTTCCAAATGAAGCAAATTTACCGGAAACTATATATTGTATGACTAATACTATCAATTTTTAAATACCTAGTTAGAGTGGATTGCATTTTTAAAAAATTAAATTAAATTAAAATTTAACAAATATAACAAAAAAAACTTCTCATCTTCCAGCTTCTCCACCTTTTCTAATTTTATTGACCTATCACTTCACATCCCCATTTTCTTCTTATACACGTATTTGCTCTGCTTCCTTTTATCTTCTGGTCTTTTTGCTGCTGCACCCTTTCTAAACTCTGCCCAACTATCTGTTCATCTCCCGCTTGCCTCTTTCTATTGCTACACTTCTGCTTCCTCTGCTTCTTTCGAAAACATTCCTTACTTGATCTTTTTATCTTCAGCTTCTTTTTAACTCTTTTAAATTAAATTTTTTGTCCTTAATATTTTATCATATTTATTTTATTTAACTTTAAACCTTTTTATTAATTGGTTTTTAATCAAATTAATCCTTTTTTACGATATTTTAACCCTGTGGCCATTCAAAATTCCTATCTGACAATTCTCAAAATCCAAACTGACATTTCTATTTACAAACTATCCAATTTTAATTTCCAAAATCCATTTTCAAGAATTTTTACTTTCCTATCTGTATACAGATATAAGGAAAGTATAGGAATCATGATTTTTTTCGACCTCGAGTTTTCGACGGATTTTTACGTTTTGAGGTCCCCTGAATCCGTTTTGACTATTTTCGCGATGATGTCTGTGTGTGTGTGTGTCTGTGTGTGTGTCTGTGTGTGTGTGTGTGTGTGTGTGTGTGTGTGTGTGTGTGTGTGTGTGTGTGTGTGTGTGTGTGTGTGTGTCTGTATAACGCATAACTCATGAACCGATACACGGAAAAATACCAAATTTCAAACTTAAGCTTTATTCCAGCGTTTAATGAGCTGATTAGATTTTGGGCAGAGTCGGAACATCTGGGGGGTACTTTATAGGTGGTGATTTTTATATTTTATGAAATATATCTGTTATTTACGTTTGGGGAAGAAAATTTTTTAAATAAAAGTTACTTCTTATTTTATGATCTATAATTTTTGTTATTTACAAAATTTTCCTAAAATGGTCCGTATTCGAGAAATTTGACAAAATGTAAAAAAATATTTTTTTTTATAAAAATTGTTCAAACAAAAGTTGTTTGTAATATAATTCTCTATAATTTTTGTCCCATAGATAATTTCTCTAAAATGGACCGTATTCGAGATATTTGAGAAAATGTGTAAATTTCGAAATTTGAAGAAAACTCAAAAACGGATAAAGAAAAAATCAATAAATTTTAAACTTAAGTTTTATTTCGGCCTGACGTGAAATGATTAGATTTTGGACAAAGTCGGAACATCTGGGGGGGTACTTTATGGGAGGCCGTTTTTATATTTTATGGAATATATCTGTTATTTATGTTTGGAGAAGAAAATTGTTCAAATAAAAGTTACTTCTAATATTATTATCTATAATTTTTGCCTTATGTAAAAATTTCCTGAAATGGTCCGTATTCGAGAAATTTGACAAAATGTGCAAAATTCTGATTTTTATGAAAATTGTTGAAATAAAAGTTGTTTGCGATATCGATCTCTATAATATTTGTTCATACATGATTTTTTTTAAATGGACCGTAATGGAAAAATTGTAGGAAAAGTGCTAAATTTAAATTTTTCAGTATTTTCATTTTCAATGAATATTTATAGAAAAATGTTTCGAGGTAGATGTATGTGGACAATGTATATATTTAGTTTATCCTCTAAACATTTATAGAGATGCTGCAATAGGTTGTACACAATAAACGGAAAAAGCCTGTAATAACTAGATAGGAAAGTCATGTGTTGGACACATCAGATTTTTTAATCCCAGTATTAAAAAACGTCATTTTGACAAATAAAATGTACAATAATTATTGTAAATTATTGAGGAGCAAAATTATTTTGCTCCTCAAAAATAGTTTTATACTAATCAATAATTTAGATGATAATAATAAAAAAAAGAAATTTACCTTGCCAAATCTTTTCTATTTCTTTCTAATCCCCTTCTCCTAAATCACTATTTAAAGGTATACAATCCTTTAAAAAAATTAAACAAAAATTAAATTATATATTTATCACAACAATTTTGTGTTCTGATGATCCTCGTTCTTGATCTGCTGTTCTTCTTGTGCCCAATTTATATTCTTTTACCGCTATCTGTTCTTTAACTCCTGTTGTCTATCTAGTTTGATTTATATCTCCTCCGAATTTGCTCCTACCGTCTAAGTTTTCTCAATAATTAAAATGCTTTTTACCTTGGTTTTTAATCTTTAGTTTCCTTTTCTAATATTTCCAATACAATAACCTTTACAAATCTCTTTCAGTTTCTAATTTTTAACAATCTTTCATTATTATCCCTTTTCCAACAAAACCTCAAATTTTTTCCAAAAATTCGAATTCCAAACACTTTTCCATCAAACATTGATTAATCAAATATTTGACAAACACAAATAAGATATCAAATTTTAATTTTGAACCGAATATAATATAATATATAATATAATATAATATAATATAATATAATATAATATAATATAATATAATATAATATAATATAATATAATATAATATAATATAATATAATATAATATAATATAATATAATATAATATAATATAATATAATATAATATAATATAATATAATATAATATAATATAATATAATATAATATAATATAATATAATATAATATAATATAATATAATATAATATAATATAATATAATATAATATAATATAATATAATATAATATAATATAATATAATATAATATAATATAATATAATATAATATAATATAATATAATATAATATAATATAATATAATATAATATAATATAATATAATATAATATAATATAATATAATATAATATAATATAATATAATATAATATAATATAATATAATATAATATAATATAATATAATATAATATAATATAATATAATATAATATAATATAATATAATATAATATAATATAATATAATATAATATAATATAATATAATATAATATAATATAATATAATATAATATAATATAATATAATATAATATAATATAATATAATATAATATAATATAATATAATATAATATAATATAATATAATATAATATAATATAATATAATATAATATAATATAATATAATATAATATAATATAATATAATATAATATAATATAATATAATATAATATAATATAATATAATATAATATAATATAATATAATATAATATAATATAATATAATATAATATAATATAATATAATATAATATAATATAATATAATATAATATAATATAATATAATATAATATAATATAATATAATATAATATAATATAATATAATATAATATAATATAATATAATATAATATAATATAATATAATATAATATAATATAATATAATATAATATAATATAATATAATATAATATAATATAATATAATATAATATAATATAATATAATATAATATAATATAATATAATATAATATAATATAATATAATATAATATAATATAATATAATATAATATAATATAATATAATATAATATAATATAATATAATATAATATAATATAATATAATATAATATAATATAATATAATATAATATAATATAATATAATATAATATAATATAATATAATATAATATAATATAATATAATATAATATAATATAATATAATATAATATAATATAATATAATATAATATAATATAATATAATATAATATAATATAATATAATATAATATAATATAATATAATATAATATAATATAATATAATATAATATAATATAATATAATATAATATAATATAATATAATATAATATAATATAATATAATATAATATAATATAATATAATATAATATAATATAATATAATATAATATAATATAATATAATATAATATAATATAATATAATATAATATAATATAATATAATATAATATAATATAATATAATATAATATAATATAATATAATATAATATAATATAATATAATATAATATAATATAATATAATATAATATAATATAATATAATATAATATAATATAATATAATATAATATAATATAATATAATATAATATAATATAATATAATATAATATAATATAATATAATATAATATAATATAATATAATATAATATAATATAATATAATATAATATAATATAATATAATATAATATAATATAATATAATATAATATAATATAATATAATATAATATAATATAATATAATATAATATAATATAATATAATATAATATAATATAATATAATATAATATAATATAATATAATATAATATAATATAATATAATATAATATAATATAATATAATATAATATAATATAATATAATATAATATAATATAATATAATATAATATAATATAATATAATATAATATAATATAATATAATATAATATAATATAATATAATATAATATAATATAATATAATATAATATAATATAATATAATATAATATAATATAATATAATATAATATAATATAATATAATATAATATAATATAATATAATATAATATAATATAATATAATATAATATAATATAATATAATATAATATAATATAATATAATATAATATAATATAATATAATATAATATAATATAATATAATATAATATAATATAATATAATATAATATAATATAATATAATATAATATAATATAATATAATATAATATAATATAATATAATATAATATAATATAATATAATATAATATAATATAATATAATATAATATAATATAATATAATATAATATAATATAATATAATATAATATAATATAATATAATATAATATAATATAATATAATATAATATAATATAATATAATATAATATAATATAATATAATATAATATAATATAATATAATATAATATAATATAATATAATATAATATAATATAATATAATATAATATAATATAATATAATATAATATAATATAATATAATATAATATAATATAATATAATATAATATAATATAATATAATATAATATAATATAATATAATATAATATAATATAATATAATATAATATAATATAATATAATATAATATAATATAATATAATATAATATAATATAATATAATATAATATAATATAATATAATATAATATAATATAATATAATATAATATAATATAATATAATATAATATAATATAATATAATATAATATAATATAATATAATATAATATAATATAATATAATATAATATAATATAATATAATATAATATAATATAATATAATATAATATAATATAATATAATATAATATAATATAATATAATATAATATAATATAATATAATATAATATAATATAATATAATATAATATAATATAATATAATATAATATAATATAATATAATATAATATAATATAATATAATATAATATAATATAATATAATATAATATAATATAATATAATATAATATAATATAATATAATATAATATAATATAATATAATATAATATAATATAATATAATATAATATAATATAATATAATATAATATAATATAATATAATATAATATAATATAATATAATATAATATAATATAATATAATATAATATAATATAATATAATATAATATAATATAATATAATATAATATAATATAATATAATATAATATAATATAATATAATATAATATAATATAATATAATATAATATAATATAATATAATATAATATAATATAATATAATATAATATAATATAATATAATATAATATAATATAATATAATATAATATAATATAATATAATATAATATAATATAATAATATAATATAATATAATATAATATAATATAATATAATATAATATAATATAATATAATATAATATAATATAATATAATATAATATAATATAATATAATATAATATAATATAATATAATATAATATAATATAATATAATATAATATAATATAATATAATATAATATAATATAATATAATATAATATAATATAATATAATATAATATAATATAATATAATATAATATAATATAATATAATATAATATAATATAATATAATATAATATAATATAATATAATATAATATAATATAATATAATATAATATAATATAATATAATATAATATAATATAATATAATATAATATAATATAATATAATATAATATAATATAATATAATATAATATAATATAATATAATATAATATAATATAATATAATATAATATAATATAATATAATATAATATAATATAATATAATATAATATAATATAATATAATATAATATAATATAATATAATATAATATAATATAATATAATATAATATAATATAATATAATATAATATAATATAATATAATATAATATAATATAATATAATATAATATAATATAATATAATATAATATAATATAATATAATATAATATAATATAATATAATATAATATAATATAATATAATATAATATAATATAATATAATATAATATAATATAATATAATATAATATAATATAATATAATATAATATAATATAATATAATATAATATAATATAATATAATATAATATAATATAATATAATATAATATAATATAATATAATATAATATAATATAATATAATATAATATAATATAATATAATATAATATAATATAATATAATATAATATAATATAATATAATATAATATAATATAATATAATATAATATAATATAATATAATATAATATAATATAATATAATATAATATAATATAATATAATATAATATAATATAATATAATATAATATAATATAATATAATATAATATAATATAATATAATATAATATAATATAATATAATATAATATAATATAATATAATATAATATATACCTATATGCATCTATATTTACCTAAATGTTCATACATGTACCTATATTGATATAATAAATTGAAATTTCATATTTATACACCCTTAACTATACCTAAATCCATTTTTTGAATCTCACTGGTTTCCTTATTTCCCTATTCATCTTTCTTTGTAACTTTCTGTCAACCTAGGGAATATTCTGTCTATACTCATATGTGCTTCATATTATGGAGTATTATTTATTGACATTTCTAGCATCAAGACACAACCTTAAATCCTACTAGAAAACCATAATAAAACGTTTTTATCTAAAGCTTCCCTGATATATTCCTTTATGTCCTCAACAATATTAAAATTTCTTACTCTATTTCTTACAATTTTCACAAATACCTTAGGGTGAATTTTGAATATATCCCCATCAAACCTACTCTCTATCCTTCCCCCTTGAAAAACGCCTACATTTTTTACTATACCTGTATTTTCTATCCCTTGAATCCTATCTTCTATACCCTTAACTCTTTCCTCTGATATTTTACAAACCAAATCTACTGCTTCCTGCACCTTTACTAAATTACCATTAACCTCCATCCCTAGAAATCTCCTGATCTTATCATCTAGTACTTTCTCTATCTCATCTATTCTACCAATTACCTCTTCCCTAATATCTTTCTTATTCTGTTCCAACTTCCTATCTGTTTCAATTTTTAACGATCCTATAACCTGCCTAAGCTAAGTTTTAATATTATCTAACCTTCTACCAATATCTTCTACAATCCGCCTAAAGCAAGCACTTGTAAATAAACAAATATCCTACTTATGGGTGACAAATGACAGGCGCGCGAAAATTTGAATCGCGAATCATGTTAAAAGGAAAGTTTAATAAAATTTTAATTATTTTAGAACTGTAGCTTCGGCGCTTAACAGCTTAGCAGCGGTGACGATTGAAGATTTCATCGAAGCAGCTTTTAAGAAAAAAATTCCAGCTAAGAAGGGTGCTTTTATTGCCAAAAGTTTATCAATTTTGTATGGAGCTTTGAGTTTTGCATTGGTAAGTACTTTAATTTTATTATTGATTATTTATTTTTTGTTTTAACATTTTAATTATTTGAATTCTCTTAGAAATGCATATATTTTCGTATCGTATACCTTTTCGTTATCATCGCAAGGGATCTCTCGATCTGGCTTGTCGTATACTGTGCCCAGTATACGGCAAGCCTGTACTGTGCCAGTGTGCCCTCTCATTTTTTTTACACATTACATCATATATATATACATCGTACTCTTACATATTGAATTACTTATATTGATAGTGGTAGAACTCTCTTTGATGATCTTCTGTGGTCCTAAGTATGGTAGAGGTGATAATTATTTATTACCTAATTTTTATTCTTTTTGTAGGTTTTTGTGGTCGCAAACTCAGGAAGCGTTATGCAAGTTGCTATCAGTTTCAACGGCATGGTTGGTGGAGTCACATTTGGGCTCTTCTCATTGGGGATGCTGTTCCCTTGGGCTAATTCAAAGGTACAGTTTTTATCGATTGTTGTCTCATCTGTCTATACGGTCCTTCATTAAGAAATTTTTTCTAGGGTGCTCTTTTTGGAAGTGTAATTGCTACAGTCTTAATTACTTTTATGTGTATTGGACAGCAAGTTGCCATTGCTAGCGGTAATTTGGAAGAACAGATGAAACCTATGGGTACAAATAACTGTTCCTGTATAACGATGACCAGAGAAGCACCAGAAGATATCGTGTCGAATAAGTAAGTATCATCAATTATTAAGGGAATAGTGTTAATTAATCACATTCAAACAACTGGAGAAGATATTGAATCTATGCGGAGTTGGTTCAGAAGTATATTAGTAGATACAGCCAAAGAGTTATGTGAGGTAACAAAAGTTAGCAGAAAAAGGCATATGAAGCGAATAGTAAAATATAAGAAGTAAAGGAAGAAAGTAAAAGACAGTAAAGAAAAAAATCCTGGGAGGATTTCGGCTCTAGAGTGGAAAGACTTCCACACACATCAAAACCTATTCTATAAAAGCCAGCAGGTAAATCAAAGGTATGGATAGAAATATACTCAACGAAGAAATACAAATAACAGTGAGACTGAAACAGTATTTCGAAGAATTCCTATTTACTGACGAAATTATTGGTACCGAAAATAGAGAAAGAAATGAGCAACTAATAAAATCAGAAATACACACGGACGATTTGGTGGATGCAATAAGGGCGATGAAGAAAGTAAAAGTGGCAGATCATGACCAGATAACTGGCGAAATGCTGAAAGAAAAAACAGTATACAAACAAGTTTGGCAGGTAAAGAGAGGTCCAACGGACTAAAAATCTTTAGGAAGGAGTGTTGCGTTTGTAAAGTGTACTGTATTTGGCGGCTGGCTAATAAATAATTTTTTCTGTGACGGGAAAAAGTTTGACATTTTATTTCTCTTGTCAGGTAACAAAATGTCACTTTTTATGAAATTACTTTTTCCCCGTTTCCCGAGAAAAAAGTGTTTCCCCGAGAAAAAAGTGAGTACTTTTTTCCCGGATATATATATACATATACACATATAAAAAGTGGCAAGTATTCATTGCATGACTTTCGATTTTAACGCCCGTTAGCGGGATACAAAACTGTTTCCTATTTTAAAGTTTTTTTTTTTGTTAGTGTGCATTGCACCTAGCTATATTTCAGCCAACCAGCAATTTGTCTTTTTTATAAACTTAAGTAAACTTAGAAACTAAGAGTTCACCTAGTGGTGTCTTCTCCTTTCTGTTTTGATAACTATACATTTCACAGTCAGTGCACACGCGCACTGTGCTCTGATTTAACACACTTTTACATTACTAATTCAAATGGTTTGGTCCTTCTGAGCCTTTTCATTAGGTATCGATTGTCCAGGAACTGTAGAACTTCAATATTGACGTGATCGTGTAGTCTTTTTTACGATAGCGTAGAAAGGCCACACTTTTTAATTTTTTTTTATTTTTAAAATTCCGTGTTTGACCACGGAATTTCTTGTTCTTGCACAGAATTCCGTATTCAAACACAGACATCTAAAATTCCGTAATCAAACACGGAATTTTCGTGTTCAAACAAAGAATACCATGTTCAAACACTGAATTCCTTGTTCGAATATGGAAATATAAAATTCCGTGTTCAAACACGCAATTTCCGTATTCAAACAAAGAATTGCATGTTCAAACGCGGAATTCCTTGTTCGAACACGGAATTTTATTTTCGAACTATAAATTTAAATGGCCTATTTACAGGTTACTCTTGGGTGACTTGGGGATCTTGGGGAGGGATTGGTAAATACAGATTCTTTGAATATCCTCAGATTTTTACTTTTGCCGACTTTTTAAAAGAGGGACGGCGTAAGTAGTACCAAAAGTCTTGCCCTCTTTAACCCCTGCATATTAATATTTTTCCTTTCATTGTATTTCCAGGTCAGTCTTAGTTCTTAGGGTCTAGTCCCTGATGCCCAAATTTCATTTAAATCGGATGAAAATAACGACTTTAAATTTACGTTTTAAATTTACCCTCATTACCTCTATAGCCCAGATGATAAGAGAGGGGTAAAGTGAGGTGATGTTTTCTAAATCCAATTATTAGTTATCTCTAGAAAAAAAATTAAGAAATGGAGGACTGGTTAAGAATTTTGTTGCTTGTGTTTCTATTAAATGGTACTTTCAAAAAATGGTGGTGCTATTTAAAAAACTCGTGATGACACGTCATAAAAATATACTTATACCAAAATATGCGCATTTAAAAAACAAAATCCACTTCTGAATGGAAATGTACAAATATGTCCATCGTGTATAGAAAGTGTATTAAAAGTTAATTTAAGATAAAATTGTTCAATTAGAGTATTTGACACCAAATTATGAGAATTCTCAGAGCATTCGTATTTCCCCCCCGCCTCCTCCCCGAATTTCCCAAGTCCCCAGAAAACGTCCTGTAAATATGCCATTAAAAAATACAGCTCGAATATAGAGGGAAATTTGTAATTCCGTGTTCATACACGGAATTCCGTATTCAAACACGGAAATCCGTATTCAAACACGAAATTCTGTATTCAAACATGGAATTCCTTGTTCGAACACGGAATTCCTTGTTCGAACACGGAATTCTTTGTTTGAATACGAAAATTCCGAGTTCGAACACGGAATTATAGATTTCCGTGATCGAACAAGAAATTCCGTGTTTGAATACGGAAATCGGTGTTTGAACAGGGAATTCCGTGTTCGAATACGGAATTCCATGTTTGAATACGGAATTCCGAATACGAGCAAGGAATTCCGTGTTCAAACACGGAATTTTAAAAATTAAAAAAATGTGGCCCTTTTACGCTGCCGTCCTTTTTTTATATTTTTTTGCGATGGATTTCCTCTCTTCTTCGGATGTAGGCATTCTCAGATCTCTATGTAAATCTGAGTTCCTAACATACCAAGGGGCTTTTACTATTTTCTATTCATCAACCAGTATAATTTTCTATATTTAATACCCAACTCTCCCCGTTTTTTCTCTATGTTCTTTCCACTTTAATTTAATATATAGGTTCATGCCTAAGTATTTTGCCGAATTAGAATGTGATATTCTAGTATTATTTAATGTCACTGATCTTTTATTAGTAAAGTTAACCTGAACTGTTTTAGTTTCGTTGAGCTTAATGTGCCATCTTTTTGTCCACTGACAAATTTAATTAGGTGCATGTTGAAGTGTTCTGGTCGATTTTTCTATGGTTTTATCGATGGCAAGTATGGCCGTGTCGTCGGCAAATGAAAATGTAGATCACATTTCAATCTGAGCAAATTTTCATATTCATATTCGCTCAGTGCCAAGTCATGGTAGGGGAAGCAAAAGGGACACTAGCGCTAGCTGCGGATAATTCGTGCATTTTGGGCCGATAAATTGTAATTTTGGAATATCAAATACAGGTATACATTTTACTTTTTTTTCAAAAGATAGGTAAAAACAATACCATAAGCAACCGGAGTTGCTGTGTTTGTAAATAGTAAAAATACTGGCAAAAAAACAGTATAAATTATAAAAATGTTCAGTAGCAAAGTGGAAATTAAATCAAAGATCATAGAAATAAACGGATAGCTGTACAAAAAAAAGAAAAATTACCTTTATTTTTGTAATAATATCAGTAATACTAGAAATAGTAGACATCAGAAACTTAAGCTTTCAAATAAACAATGAATTATCATTTTACGAAGTTCTTCAACATCCCTTTATTCTTGAAATGTTCAGCAAGAGCTAGATTTCTGTCATTGATTATGACTGAAATGCAATTTTGTGACTTACTGATAGGAAACCAGTTTTAATCATTCATTCTATGTTTTCTTTCGAACAAAAATGAGGAAAATTTAAAAAACAATCCTTTGGTTTATAGATTTTAACTTCATGCTATTATTTAACAGTATTTTTTTTATTTTGACAGAAAAAGTTAATTCGTCAAAGACAACTTATTAGACTTAGGCAACTTCTCATACAATTTCTCATAAATACTGTAACCTGCTTGTTTTATTATTGATTTTAATTGATTTTTTTTACTTTTTTTTTAGTTTAAGCGATAAAATTATATAATAATAATAATAAATTAATGTTTTTACTTGTTTTACAATTTTGTATACTTTTATTAAAACTAACATATAAGTATACTTTTTATTTAAGAATTCTATTAAAAATTGTATTGTCAATATACGTAAAAATCGTCCATTAGTACATGAATTAATTGGCGCTGCTTTCGCGCACGGAACGAATAAGTAAGCATATATTTTTTATGCAGATACTTTTACTTAATTAAATATTTACTGACAAATAACAAATAAAAATAGAGGACGCTGTATTATATTATGTGAAATTATAAGTAAAAACTGTTACGAAAATCTTCAGAAAAGCACGGAATTATTGTTCTGTTCAAGTTTTAATAACAAAATAACAAGTTTTTTTTGTAAATATTTTTTGTTCCATTTTTGAGCCTTCGTCAGTCATTTTGTTGGAATTAAATATTATGTGCTTTGTGTCCATGAATAGAGGACTTCTATACAAGGGAAGTGCAACCAACTTAACAAAATAAAAATGACACTAATGACATAAGAAATCGGGTCACATAAAGAGGCTGTTTTTAAGTTTACTTTTTTGTTTTTCTTATATACTTTTATGCCATTTACATACCATGTTGTACCCGTAAGGTAAAAAAGACTTTTAAGTTTAGGGTATTTTACATCTAAAGGTTGAAAAAATTTGTCAGTGTCAGCTGTCAATTATGTTGTTGGTAGAACACAGGCGTAACCATAGATGGGCATAACGTAACTAGTATTGTATATGGTTGTATAGTGTATGGAACTTGTATTTGTAGCAGCAGCATTTTTGCATTTGACATAAATATATAAAACCAAATGAAAAAAATGTTTAAGGAAACCGGGTGAAACACAAATAGACTATTAACAATAAAAAAATAAATTGCAATGCTACGCTTATGTTTTGACATTATCGACAGCTGATATTGATAGATGTCTTCAACCTTTAAATGTAAAATACCCTGGCATAAAAGTATATAAGAAAAACCAAAAATTGAACAAAAAAACAGCCTCTTTATGTGACCCGATTTCTTATGTCATTAGTGTCAATTTTATTTTGTCAAGTTGGTTGCACTTCCCTTGTATAGAAGTCCTCTATTGGTAGAGTAAATCTTGTTATATTTAATAATATAATTTTATTCTAGTGCTATTTAAAATGTTTGATTGTTTAATGGCAAATAAATTCATGTAAAGTATTTTTATATCCATGTATATCCAGAAGGAATCATTATACATCTTCGAGAAATCCACATACATTCTTGCAAATCCTCGGACATCCTCGCACATCCTCGTACATCCGCATACATCCTTGTACATCCTCATACATTCTCGAGAAATCCTTGTACATCCTCGAGAAATCCTTGTACATCCTCGAGAAATCCTTGTACATCCTCGAGAAATCCTTGTACATCCTTGTAATCCTCCTTTTTGTACTTCCAAATTCTCACATATCCTCGTAAATCCTCCTTTTTGTATACCTACATCCTGCTTCCTCAGTGGTTTACCCATCGGTTTACTGGTTATCTCAGAAGAGCTCCATTAATTCTTGCTTGACTCAGTTTTTTAAATCGTATATTCAATATAAACACTAGTATAACGGTATCCCTCAGGGTTCCAACTTAGGACCATTAAAAATTTGGCAAGAATAGTATTGATTCAGAAAAACATTATTTTATGCAGACGATTTAAACATTTATTTACCAGTATTTAATCAAGACGACTGTATACAACTTCAAGCTAATTTAAAAATATCGTCGTGTACAGCCACTAACTTATTGAATATGTCGAAATGTAGAATTCCCCAATGCCACTCAAAACAATGCACCCTGTTATTTGGCAGTATTCATTGGATTTTAAGAAAATGCTGAAACATTTTTATTCGTATTCTAAAGGGGACACAGACTTCTGTCATGTGTCAACCCTCTCCCGTCCACTTCTTTAACCCTTTAATTTTAAATGGAAAAGATACCATTAGAAAGGAATTGCGAGGGACTATTTAGGCATATGATCATCTATGACTTTTTTTTCGATTAACTCCATGTTTGTAAAAAAGTTTCAACTTAATTAAAGTGTATTACTTCTATAAAATTAAACGCAATGCCTATGTATTGTTTATACATTTTTCCAAAATTCGTTTTCTTGCTGTCACGGAATAATTGAACCCATTATCCAAACACAGTCGTTGCTTTTAATTTTATAGAGGTAATGCAGTTTAATTAAATTATTTTATAACGAATAAAAATAATACTATACAATATGACAAAATAATAATATTAATAATAATCACATACTTTGATTACTATACGAGGCAAGAGAGAGGTCCGACACGCCCAACATAGGGCGCGGCCATTTTGAACCCTGTGACACAGTTTACAGCTAAAGAATCAGATCGCTCACTCTGCGTCGGCACTTTTGATCTCAATGTTTCAGTTTATACACTGTGCAACTCGGATAATACAATATATGACAACCGCCTATAATAAAACAGCAGTCTTCTGTGTATCCAGAATTTGTATCCCTAGAGTGGATGTTATTTTGGAACTTTCAACTGGTCCGAGTGAGCTAACTGATTCTTTAGCAATAAACTGTGACTTCAAAAATAATATTTACTGACACTGACAGCAGCAAGCAAAATATCAGGTGCGTTTTAATCATCCGCTTCTGCTTCCGGAATTGTCGGTTTAGTCGTTTTAACCTGTCAGATTAAAACAAGAAAACCGACAATTCCGAAGCAGAAGCGGATTACCAAAAATGGAACTTTATTTTATGTTTTAACAATATAAAAGTTAAAATTTAAAAGCTAGAAAATGCCGGCAACGAACTAGTTTTGTTGCCGCTAGATCTTGGTGGGGCATTATCTTGGACTTGCCGCTTCTGCATAATTCTACTTGTATTTGCTATGATTGTGTTATCATAACTTGTATAGTAACAATGTGCCCCCTTTGGAATAAAAAATTGACCCGTTTCAGCATTTTCCCAAAATCCAATGAACACTTTGATTTGTAAAGGGGTTGTAAGAATATGTTGGACATTAAATATTCTTTCTTTACAGAGATTCTGTATTTGTGCTGTACCGAGTATCGTACATCTGGTATTCAGGAATAGGATGCGTAATAACCATTGTACTAGGACTAGTTATCTCCTTCATCACGGGTACTACCAACTTGTCTGATGTAGAAAACGTCTACATATCGCCACCGATTTTAAAGTTTCTTTACTGGTTGCCGGACAATATCAAACAGTTTCTGGGAGTTCCCCATAAAAGCATCAATTTCATGAGAAATAATTTCGTTAAAGAGGCCGTTATGGTAAAAATAAATGAAGAAGAGTTTCACGAGGTGAAACAGAACAATTTCAACGAGCAGATCAAGAAGAAAATAAGAAAATTATCAGCGCCGTCGTAATTATTGTTCTGTGTCTAATAATAAGGTTAAATGAGTCTCTGTACATAGTAGCTATTCTTAGTTTTATTGTGATTTGTAATCGTACTTATGTAGATATTTATAAATAGGATAATAAGGTAATAAAGTTTTGTTTACTTTTTCGTTTCTTTTTTTTTTTTTATTAAAAAAAAGTATATTTACTGTATATTTACGGATTTTTCACTGTACATCTGTTTCAACTCTGTTTAAAAAAAACAGTTTTGGAGAATTCGTCGTAAAGATTTTCACCAACAATTAAAATTAATTGCAACTTTAAATTCTTTTTTGTTTTCAGTGTTTACTAGTATTTAAATAAAATTTTAGTCTTAACTTAAATAAAATAAAAAAATATACAATAATTTCTTTTAAAATCGAACAAATAGGAAAGAACTAGGCAATCTCCCAGACTATAACATACAGGGTGTCCGGAAATTAAGTGTACATGGAGCTATCACAGATTTATGGGCTCAAAATAAGTTGATTTAACCAAACTTATCTATACACCAACTTGTTTCGTTTGGCCGCTAGAGGTCAATAAGGTAAATAAAAATATTTGTTTTGTCGTAAAATTCATTCGACGTTTGTTTTTTTTTATAAAATTATGTTTACTTTTAAACAGATAACGTGATAACACTGATAACTATAAATAATTTTGAAATATTTTTAAAGTTTAGGTTTTTTTTTTTCGTAATTTTTCAAATAAATTTTAAAACCATTATTTTAAGGCGCACTAGTTTTTACAAACTAAAATTAAATGTTATTCCATAAAATTTGTTTCGTCAACTTTTTAGACAAAATGTATAAGTTTATCTATTAAGGTTTACCTAGTTGCCATTAGTAAGATATTTATGATGTACCTAATGTCATTTTGTAAGAAGTAACTCTAAAATGTTTATACCTGTTGGTCTTCATAAGATATATAAATAATAATCTATAGATAAAACCAAATTATATCATGACATAACAACTCTTAACAACGTTTTTATATCCATTTGCAATTACCTAATAACATTATCTTTTTATATAGTTATAAGTTAATTATAACTGTAGTTAAAGCAACTACTGTAAAACGTATACTATTAGGTTGTATATATCCACCAAAAGTCGCATAATAATATACAGTGAGCATCATAAGTCTTACCCCCCCTTAAGTAACTCGTTACTGGGGTCTTGTTAGGAAAATCGCCGAGACAGGTCGATTTTTGATTTCTACAATGTACATTTTTGCATGATTAGTTTACCCTTAATTTCATCCCTTACTGGAGGGTAGCAACCCTTTGGAAAAATTTAAATGGCATGGGGTGGTGAGTGATAGCTCATTTGAAAGGGGGTTTTATTCTATATTCAACCGTGTAAAAAATTTTGAAATTTGCTTCATTACGTGTTGATTTATTAATGTTTAAAAATAACAAAACCTCATAAAATAGGAAAGCAACTAGACTAACAGTTACCTTCTAATGGCAAAAAGTCTTACTTCACGTCTGAACCAAAACCGAAATAATGCAGGGCCGAATTTTAATTCTAAGTGTACAAACACAGTGGAAGCAGATTTCCGCTTACCGGCAATCAGCGCAGTTAAGCAGGTCGGCGCCAGTAAACAGCGCTGACCTGCGTTCTCGCTTTGGCCGGAATGACAATTTAGTTTATTTCTGCTTTTTGTACGCGCTGGTTTAGTGGTTGTACCATGGATAAGAAAGCACTTATTGCTACCGTTTTTGAAAGACTCCCTATTTGGGACAAGAGGGAGAAATTGCATTGCAATCGGAATGAGATTGATAAATATTGGAAGGAAATAAGCATTTAAATAAAACGAACATCTTTCATTTTGCTACCGCACGTAAGGAAAATACCTGAAAACAGTGAAAACAGAATACTATCTTTTCGTTGTCGCGTACATGAATTAGTGGAACAATATTCCTATTAACTTTACACTTATCCTCGTCTATTATCTTCTACATCATCCCATTCTAGTGCGCCTTCTCCTCTGGTTATCAGAATGCCTACTCTTTCGTTTCCTTATGCCAACAACCAACCACGTCCCAAAATCATCTTGCTAATGATCCTAGACCCCTTAAAAGTAACCAACAACAAAATATAACTGACAATTATACTACAGATTGTATACCAACTCTCTTTCTCTTCAGTTTAGTCAAAACAGAATCCAAAGCAATCAGATGGTAATCAGAAAAGACAGTTTTCTAAAAGTTGTAGACGTAACTGAAAACGATTTTTCTCGCTTTTAAAGGTATTCATTGTACCATTCAGCCGCGAGACAATGGCGCAGATCGGCGCTGATTGCCGGTAAGCGGAAATTTGCTTCCATTGTGTTTGTACCCTAAGGATGAGTACGCTACGTTAATTTCCGTTATTCTGAAACAACAATTAGTCGAGAATTAATGAAGCAAATTTCAAATTTTTTTACACGGTTGAATAGAGAATAAAACCCTCTTTCAAATGAGCTATCACTCACCACCCCATGCCATTTAAATTTTTCGAAAGGGTTGCTCCCCTCCAGTAAGGGATGAAATTAAGTGTAAACTATTTATACAAAAATGTACATTGTCAAAAACAAAAATTGACGTGTCTCGGCGATTTTCCTCACAAGACTCCCGTAACGAGTTAGATAGGGGGGTAAGACTTATGGTGCTCACTGTATAATAACGGTATAGTGTATTATAATATGTAAGTTGTTGAGTTTTAAGAACCGTTGTTGCAACGTCGGTATAACCCTTATATAACTTTTTGTGTTACTTGGGTATTGTTAATTCTATTGCAAAAAATTAAAATCGGTAATATTTATAAGTAAAACTAACCTGTTTTTGTTTATGTTAGATAACTTATAACACACATAAAACTAACTCACATCAACACTCAATTTTTAACCATTAAACTTCTTTTTTTGTATACCTAAACAATGGACTATAACAACGCATCATAATTTTTAATCTTATTTACGTCGAAACAATTAATAATAGTGTTGATTTTAACAAAAAATATTGATTTATCCTTTTAATTAAGCATTTAGAAGGAAATTGGAATTAAAAAACCATTTTTTATTAAATTTCCCGCCTAAATTCGCCCTATAGAATAACTACATATTGTTACAACAAAACTTCTCGTAATGCGTAAATTACTTCGGTGGTTTGTATTGAAGGTCGAAACAAAGAAAAAGTACCTTTAGTTTTGTATCAAATTCAATTGTCAATTTAAATGTGATACAAAATTACTAACAGTTTATTTATTTAATAGTCAATTCAAATGTGATAATTTGTTGTAACCAGTTCTTTCTATGTCATGACATGTATTACATTTTCTCACTTTCTTTTATTTGCCTGAACTCGTAACAGATAACTTGAGGTACCAAAGACCGACTCAATCAAACAGAAATGTAAAATCAGATAGTTTTCCAAGTTACTCATAAACTTGGTGGCGCTCAACATTGTTTTGTCGTTATAGTATCTTTTCTTTTTAAAGTAGACTTTGGCTCGCGAACCTGTCAAGCTACTCTGATTTTATTTGTCCTGGTCAATTTATGAATCCACGCAGTACCAGCTATTTGAGCTAAATTACTTCAAAGTATAATTGACATCATTGAATTCCACAAAAAGGTAACACATTGGCGCCCAACGTGGGGCGAGGTTTTTCTATTATTTAGACGACATCATTATCTGTACCCCAAGTTTTGAAAAACATTTGAAAATTCTTGAGAAATATTTTGTGAAATTAAGTAATTCCAATTTAACTGTAAATATCGATCAATGTAACTTTTGCCTGCCTTCACTTGAGTTTCTTGGGTATAAATAACTCTTTAACTTCAAAATAAATATACATTGTAAGAAAACGATCAGATCCCAACTTGGTTAATTTCAATTTCAAGGGAGTTTCGCTAAAAGTGTAGTTTGGTGAGTGTATTTATGATTTTTTTAATGTAAAACCAAGCTGGCATCACTCGTCTTCATTTGGTAATTATTAATGGATCAAACGACTTACCTGAAGGAAGTTCGATCCAAATTATGCGAGCATCCTTGTTAGTGGAAATAAAGGTAACCATGTAGCATACCTATGTTACGCCGCTGACCCACATGTTCAAATTTAAAATTTCGCTGCCTGCCTACATAACTCATTACCTGTTGTGGAGCCTAGGAGTTTGGGGTTAAAAATAATATAAATATGGTGGAGGTGGGACTTTATTTACACTAACAAGGATGCTCGCATAATTAGGATCGAACTTCCTGGTGTGATCGTGATTACCTGTATAGATGAACCACGTATGCAGCAACATAGCTTTTAAATTTTTCGGCTCTTCTCTGCTTCGGCTAATGGACTGTCGTAATTTCCTTATGGAATAAAACTCGTAAAATCATCGTAGATAACACCTTTTATTTATGACTCTTCATAAATCTTCAGTACACTTATTTACAAAAACTTTTTTACATATTTATTTACATTCGAAATACTATCTTTGCAGAGAAAAACATTTTTTAAAAAATAACATTTTTATGTTGTGTAAGAGCGAACTCAATACACGTCTGTTTGCTTTGGTGACTTGTTAAAAAGTGAGCACAATATATCCCCTATAGTAGTGCATCTCACTTGTTAAAGAGTTGGCACTAAGTTTGCAGCGCAAGAATGCGTCTGTGTCTGGCCGCTCAACTAACTCGATATGGCGGTAAATTCAAATATAATTTAAAGGCGAAATTTAAATTTCCCGCCAAAATTGTAAATTTTCAGCCGCGGAATGGCGGGAATTTTTAAATATATTCATTCGGCAATAATTATTGAGAAGTATATTGCATGTTCGATTAAACGAGCTGTAAATCCAGGCGCTATTTTTATTTTGATAGCTAAAAATAATACTAATTCTTAGCTATTACACTAAGAGCAGCATTTGGATTAACAACACATTTAAAAGAACATGTAATATACTTTTCAATTTTACCTAAATCACTTATTTTTTACCTATAGAGGTTAGATCTGAAAAAAAATTGGCTCTGGTAAAAAAACAAAAAATTGTATAAAGTATTTTATTTGAAAAATTATAAAACTTATTTAATATATTTTAAAGACGAAGATAACTCTAGCCATATCCATTTTACTGAAAAAAAAA